GAGCCACACACACACACAGCCAGACCCATACACACACACACACACACACACGGCCAGATCCACACACACACTTGCTCGCACACACGCACGCACACACACTCACACACACACACTTTCACTCACACTCTCACACATTCACACATACACACTCACTCTCTCACTCACACACTCACTCACTCACCATGGTCCTCTAGGGTGCCTAAAATTCAAAATGACGTAAATTATCTAAAAGAAGCTTGTGTGTGTGTGTGTGTTTCAGGTGCAGTACCAGCGTGGTCTGCAGGAGGTCAAAGGTCACTCCTGCTCAGAGTTGGATACGCTTGAAATGAGACATGAGCTGAAATCTCGTGTAGCAGGACCACGGCGACGCCTGTGTGTGACATCACCGCATTAACATGTGACTGACAAGCCACACGGGTGACGAACGATAACACGCGTGTGCTCATAAACACTCATGGGCTTATCAGAGACCAAACCGCACTGTAACACACACCTGCAGTATGAGAGTGTGTGTGGTGTGAGTGTGTGTGTGTGTGTGTGTGTGTGTGTGTGTGTGTGTGTGTTTGTGTGTGACGTTCTCTCTCTCTCTCTCTCTCAGGCGAAGTATCACGAGGAGTTCGAGCGCTCGCGGGGTCGGGGCGCCACACACACCCTCGATGAGCAGCACATGGCATGTCTCCATGGAGACCAGCTGATGGGTGCCGGCGACGGTTACCATGGCGTCCAGCCGCAGGTGGTTGAGATGGACCACAGATCAGCAGGAGCCGCTGGTCAGTCCATCACAAATACTCACAGTTAGTTATAATATTAATATGATTCTTTCTGACTTTATTGAACTTTGTGTGAAATTTTAGACATTGTGTGCAGCAGAAGAATGTTTGATGTTCATCGTGGTGGTGTTTCTCCATTCAGACACATTTCATTATCAGTTATGATTTGTTGAATGCATTAGTTGTTGCAGGCCGACGTGAAGGTTGTGTCATGTAAATAATCGTCATTTGATCATTGTTTTCATCTCTGAACATGTTTTGTAGCTGAAGTTTTGCTCTTCATCAGTTGTTAAGGTCAGAATTTTGGGGTTGGTAAGATTTTTCAGTGTTTCTGAAAGAAGTCTCTTCTGCTCGAGGCTACATTTATTTGATCAAAAATTCAGTAAAAGCAGTGAAATAGTATTACAAATCTGTTTTCTATGTGCATTTAGCCATTGTATTGAATAAATGCCTGGGGTTGTGTTTGTTTTCTTCTAAAGAGACGAAAGGTAAGCGTGTCTAGCAGTGTTTAGAGCTTTTCTATAAGTGGAAGTACTTTCCCTCCATGCAATACCAAATACCTCTAGTTTTGTTTTCTTCCAGCTGCACTCCAAGGTGTTAGTGTGCTCATTATAACACAGTGTCGGACTGTTTTCCTTAATCTTGTTTAAGCGTAAAGGAGCAACTATATCTAAAGTGCTAGAAAAAAAAGAGCTTATAGTTTTTGTTTCAACATTAAGTTTTTCTGAGCTATTGGATTTGCTGAGCAATTGAGAGTCCTCCAAGTCAGGAAGATTATTTACAATTTCCAGCATCATTACTCCAGTCTTCAGTGTCACATGATCTTCAGAAATCAGTATAATATGCTGATCTGCTGCTCGAGAAACATTTCTGATTATTATCAATGTTGAACACAGTCGTGCTGCACAATATTTCTGTGGAAACTGTGATGCATTTTATTTTTCAGGATTCACAGATGAACAGAAAGTTAAAAAGAACAGCATTTATTTGAAATAGAAATCTTTTTAGTAATTAGTTACGCCCAACACTGCTGCTGAATACTGTGAACAAAAATCATCAGGCTACATAAAGACTCGATTAAGAGCTGTTTGTGTGCAAAATAGAGCGGCACGATTCTGGATAAACTGAGACTTTTTTATTTTTAATGGAGGTTGTAGTTCTCTCACAATTCTGAAGAAAAAACA